CTGGCGCGGACAATGCACACACTCGTCCTCCCCTCTCCTTCGAGCCCTTAGTACCAACCACCTCCTTCAATACCACGCCCTCCCTCTGCACACTTCTCAGATCCCGACTCGATGCACACGCTCTCTCTTTCCCCTTCCTTCGAATCTTTACTCTCTCCCTCTCCCCCTCTCTCTCTCTCTCTCTCTGTCTCTCTCTCTCTTCTGGCGATGCAAACTGGCCAACTGGTCGACGTGCCGAACGCGGGAGATAGAAACTGGCGGGTGCACGATGCAAACTGGCCAACTGGCCGACGTGTCGAATGCGGGAGATCGAAACTGGCGGGTGCATGATGCAAACTGGGATGCAAACTGGCCAACTGGCCGACGTGTCGAACGCGGGAAATGGAAACTGGCGGGTGTACGATGCAAACTGGCCGACTGACCGACGTGTCAAACGCGGGAAATCGAAACTGGCGGGTGTACGCTGCAAACTGCCCGAATTCGGCCGACGACGCGCGGGGCATCTGAAATCTTCAACCCAAAAAAAAATAAAAAAATGCAGTGAATCTTTACTGTGCCCGCCGCAACATTCACTATTGCGTCCCGAAAAAGCGCCCTTCGAGAAACTGCTTCGAAAAATAGTGTCCCGTGGGCCCGCCCCTTGCCCCGCCACGTTTCCCAACACTGGCAAGCGGGTCTCCTTGGGAGCGTTACGCGAGACCCGCTGCACGCTTTAAGAGTATTAAGGATATGTTCTGAAACGCTCCCCACAAAGATAATAAAGCCCCCCCCTTCTCCTTGTTTTTTTTTGTTTTTTTTTTTGGTTATTTCAGGGCAAGCGCCTTGAGATATCATGCTGGAACTGGCGACCCCCTGGCCCTATTCCCAGCAAGGTAATGTAGCATTGGGCACTGGACCCGGTTTAAGGGAAAACAAATAAATAAATACATTCAAGAGGAAACTATGCACACCTCAGTTGGTAAGGCACTCAAGTGGCATTCAGGAGGTATTGGGTTCGATCCCCATTGGCCTCATGTACCTTCCTGGGCAAGCTTGGCGCCGGAGTGGCATTGAGCAGGGACTGCTGATGTTCATAGGGGGAGGGGACCGGAGGGAAGGCACCGTGACTGGCCCATCGAGGAAGCTCGGTCCTGATGCTACCGGCTGACCCCTGGCCGGTATCACCCACCTGCTTTAGCAGGTATCGCACCTGCTGGTGGGTGCAGCTTCCGTATGTTCCCTCGTTGGAGGCTTGAGCACCGATGTGGCTGCTACGGGTTCCCCGTAAAACTATAATGACAAAAAAAAAAGGCCTGAAAGGCCGTCCTGTCCAGATTTGACAGGTAATTGAATTGGTTGGCCTTAAAAAAAAAAAAAAAAAAGAAAAAAAAAAAAAGAGTTTTAATTGCACTAAGTGCCGAGATACAGTTTCAAATTGCAGTTTGGGCAATGTATACAACCCAGCTTTCTGGCCAGGTAGGGTGCCCGAACTGCAATTATAAATACTTTTTGTGACTGTACTGAAGTTACGCCATTGCAGATGGTAACTGCAGTGATGAAGGCATGTCTCACAAGCACAACAAATTTTGTATCCGTCTATCAGACCGATTTACCAAAGAAGGCATAGCCTCACAAGCACAACAGATTCTGTATCAGCCCGATTTCAGGAGACAGCCATTTCTTCAAAATGGACATATTTTACTTTTTGAATGAAATTGAAAATTGCGAGGGTTTATGCCTCGGCATAGGGCCCTGCAGCAGGCGCGTCCCCGCCCTAACTGAACTTGAAGGTGGGACCGCTGAATCTCAATGGTCCCTGAAGGGCCTGAACTCGTCAATTTTTGCAAATTTTGGTCGGCGCCAGACAGTTGCCACTCGCCAGTTGGTTACATCCTCCTTGCTCGTGAGAATCCAAAATATCCGTGAGCCTTCCAGGCTCTTCCAGCAACGTGGTAGAAGCAAGGAGCAGCACACGTTGTGCCTGGGTGGTTGGGCACGCGTAACCAATTCGGTCCCAGGCCACTGTCTGAACGGGCCTGGGCGCAGACACTTTGGCCGAGACTGAAGGTACTGGAAACTCAGTCTCACCTGGGAAGCAAGTGAGAAAGTGCCCACCACATTCCATATAGGAACGGGCTGGGCTCCAGTCGAGGCAGGCGGGCACTTGCGATCTCTCGCGGGCTGCTTGCTGCACTAGCGCTGGTGCTGCGTGCACAAGTGGGCATGCAGGGAGAAGGGCGTTGCTGAGGGCAGCACCATTGCCAGCCCCAATAGCTTGGCTTGGCTTGACTGAGACAGAGAGATGAGGTTGTGATGTGAGGGCACTTTCCTGGTCTTGGCAACGGTCTACAAGGTCGACATCTTCCCGTAGTACGGTTGTTGGTGCTGACGTCAACAGGATGCGTTGTCAATTCGTGGGCTGCTAGTAGCTGGGCGCTGAGCGGCAAGTAGGAGGAAGGGCTCTGGATACATATGTTGATGATGATGAGAGTATGCTCTCGTTGACATTTGGGTTCGGTGCTTTGATTCTCCGTTGGTGGAATATTGGTTCATTTGTGCTTTCTGAACAGTGATGGACTTGTTGGCTTTCAATCTGATTTTGCACTCTAAATTTCTGTCATTTCGCGATCCCTCATTTTCCTTGCAATTTGGTAGCGGAGCTGGTTCTAGCCGCTCCGCTGGCTCCTTCACAATAGCTGTTTGGTGTTTCGCTGCATATGGTGGGGCAGTGATAATTCTTGTGCATCGGTATAGTGGCGACCCAACATCGTGTGGGCGCACCAGGAAGGCTATGTGGTGACATATGGGGTGCACGCTGGATGATGAGAGCTTGCTGATGTGGCATTTAAGCCTTCTTCAACTTACAGAACGTTCCGCTACTGACCCTGAAGATCAATGGCAAACAATAGCACTTTGTGTCCAGCATGTCTTGCTGCGAGCCTGGAGAGGCGTTTGCAACATTGATTTTGTTTGGTCTCGTCGCTTCGGTGAACCACTTGAGCCCTGATTGCATTGTATTGTGGGTTGTGCCGAGGCATTAACTCGGTCATCATAAATGCATGTCAGGTTACTGGTGAGAAATCTATGGGTGGGGGCAGCATTATGAGGTACGTTGCTCCTTACCTTATCTACCGTCTTCGTTACTTCTTACAATGAGGAAGTGAGTTATGTGTTGAGAGTCGTCTCATTGTGAGGTGCCACGAGTGGTCAACCTTGAGAGTAGACATTCTTCCTGGGGAGCAAGCTGGTGGGAGACTGGCGTTGCCTCTGGAGGGCCCTCGACGAAGCACTCGGGTCATGGTCACCATGCCAATCCGCTGGGACTAGTACACGCATGCTTTGCCGCTTGTCCTTTGGTCTGCATGCTGCGCTGTAGAGGTCATGTCGGGCAGGCCAGCGCTATGAGGGCGAGATGAGTACCCGGCCGTCTATAAAGAGACTCCAGCAGGGATACATGACTCGTTTTGTACTCGAGTATAAAGATAGTATGGTCGAGACTGGCCAGTTGTGCATTGACTTGAGGCACAAGGGTGGGTCTATTGCACAACTTCAGACAGGCCGCTGAACCAGAGCTTCAGGACGTTGACATCAATTTGACAACTCAAGAGGGATACAGGGGGAGGGAAGATTCCAGTGAACAGGTCTATTGTTTATTATTGTAAAATTCCATTTTGCATGCACAACCAGCAAATAATTTTATTTTAATTTTTGATAAGTTAGTTGTGACGGACATTGCTAACACGGGCATGTCTCAGTCTTCCGTAAGTGTGAACACTGGTATGTCTCAGGCCACGGTGTGTCTCAGTCTTCCGTTAGTGTGTCTGCTGGCTAGCAGGTCAGCCAGCAGCAACAGCAAGTTGCCAACAACATATGTCAGATGAGGATTATGAGATCCAGCAAACAGATGCTTTCCCCGCAGAGTTACGATGCCAGTTGCAAGAGGTAGAGGATGGGAGAGAGAAAGCCAGACATAGAAAAGTCAGGCTAGAGTCAAGGGCAGAGGAGCTAGGCAAACTAGAAGCTATAGATGAGTCGACTCTTGACCCTGTGGTGCTGTCCTGTCGGAATTCCTTGTTAAGCATAGCCGAAGTGCAGGACGTACAACAGGAAATGTTGGCTGCAGTGGTAGCTGGGCATAACCAGATTCTGACTGCATTGCAGGCGCCTCGACCTCCGGTTAGGCAACCACAATTTACTGTAGTTCCTTTTACGGTTGCAGGTCGAGGCAACCACAATTTCCTGTAGTTCCTCTTACGGTTACAGGTCCTGTGATGACGCTGCCGCCGACAGGGCAACCCTTTTCCGGGTTTCCCCCCAGTTTGGCATGCCCCCATCAGGTGGATTAGTAGCAGGTAGCACTGGGCAGATTCCTATACATCCCTCTTCATTCCCCCATTCACTGGTTGTGGCTGAAGGGCAGCCATGCATGCAGCAGCCCATGCAACAAGTAGCCCTTGCAAGGGGGTCCCTCACATGTATTGAGTAAGAAACATAGAAAGAAACATGTTTTTTTTTTTTTCCTCATTGGGTAAGAAACATCGAATGAAAGGGGTTTGCAACGATGCCTCGCTTGGCTCACCTGTGCACACTTGCATTCGAACGCAATCAGTTGTTTAGCGTGCTTCTTCCATAAACTCACCTCCTCAACGGTATATTGCCGATCTTTGTAAAACGACCTGACCCCACCCTCGAACCGTCGTTGCACTGCCAGTAGGAAGAGCACTTCACTCTCGTTCATCCATAGATGCAGGGGCGGGACACAACTGGCCCGCGGTTCCGTGCACGGGCGGGACACAGCTGGTCCGGTTCCTGTGCGTGCCGAATTCGGCAGTCCTGTACACGAGCGGGGCACAGCAGGTCCGATTCCTGTCGATTACGCTATGGATGAGCGGTTCCGTGCACGGGCGGGACACAGCTGGTCCGGTTCCTGTGCGTGCCGAATTTGGCAGTCCTGTACACGAGCGGGGCACAGCAGGTCCGATTCCTGTCGATTACGCTATGGATGAGCGGTTCCGTGCACGGGCGGGACACAGCTGGTCCGGTTCCTGTGCGTGCCGAATTTGGCAGTCCTGTACACGAGCGGGGCACGGCCTGTCTCTTATACACATCTAGATGTGTATAAGAGACAGCGCTATGGATGAGCGGTTCCGTGCACGGGCGGGACACAGCTGGTCCGGTTCCTGTGCGTGCCGAATTTGGCAGTCCTGTACACGAGCGGGGCACGGCAGGTCCGATTCCTGTCGATTACGCTATGGATGAGCCACGTGTCGAGGCATTAGAAGACCTTGCATGCTTGCATCATTTTCTGGACTTCAGAGACTCCACGGACGTCGGAGGTGGTTCTTCTCGGGCAGCTGAATTTCCGTCGACTGGACCGTCCACAAGGACAGGGACATCGCCCACGCAGCCGGAAAAGGAAAAGCAAAAACAGAGCCACAGCGTACGATCGAGAGGCGTTCTCATCTGGCGATCTGTGTGTCCGAAATTCGATTTAACGCGGGGTCCGCGTTAAAAAATTGAACGCGCGTTCAGTTCGCGTTCAATCCCCGTTCAAATGCGCGTTGGACACAAATGAACGGGGTCCGCGAATCGTTATTTCGCGATGTCGGGGGGGGGGAGGGGGTTTTGTGAAGGTGCAGGGTGGTAGTC